GGCAGTGGCCTGAGCCGTCCGACCAACCTAGGTGACCTACCGGCCTCTCCTCGATGGAGATTCTGCTGGTAGGTCCCTCCAAATCCTTCCAGGGAAGGTGGAGGCTAAAGCTCGAGGTGTGGGGACAAAAACTCTGACCACGCATGTGAGCAGAAACACCATAGCTGTTGGGGCATAGGTTTCTAGTGGTCCGACCAGTTTTACTCAGAGTTTGTTTCCGCACACCTTGCCTTTAGATTTTAGCGCAAGAAATGGGTCGGGCATCGAGAATGTCTACCGAATAGACACTCTTGCCAGCCCTCGAGCGAGACCCGACCCCTTGCCATTGCTGGAGGGCGACTTCGATTCTCCCCCGAGGAGGTCATGGAAACACTCCGCAACATATTCGGTCATCCCTACGAACTCGTCGTTCGTGGGGGATGGGGGCATGCGCTGCGCCACAGGGAGGCCATCGGTCTCTGCGGCATTGCAGAGACCGAACGGGAGCGCTGTCCGGGCGCTCTAGATGAGGTATTTCGGAGAGAGCAGCTCCCCTCCGGCAAGCTGCGCCATGACGTTGGCGAACAAGAAGGTGAGGTGGCGTAGGTCCTCCCGGGACGGTTGGGGTCCCAGGAAGGCGCCAAGCTGACACTCTAACCTCCCGCGGTCGAAGTCGAAGAGTCGGTCGCTTCCGAGGGCGTGGGCCTCCGGTGCGTGTAGCTACAGCTCCTCAAGTGCCTCAGCGATCGTGTTGAGGCCGGTGGAGTGGAGAGGTCGGACAGCGGCGGGAGGCATGGCCAACTCTCCCTTCGTCGTGACGATGAAGTTCAGGTCCCTGAAGCGCACTACGCACCCGGGACCTAGCTGAGGTTGTGACTAGCCATCCGAGGCTTGGTGTTGATGTTGAGACGCGCAAAAGGCCCTTACCTGGTGTGCCAACTGTCGGTGTTTCGAGTTGTCACTGGCTAGTAAATTTCTAATATTGCGCGTCTATCCTGGATGGTGTGCTAAGAGGACACGAGATTTATACTGGTTCGGGCAGAATGTCTCTACGTCCAGTTCGTTGCTGCTGCTCATGTTACTAGCACTGAAAATTCGTAGTAGGGGTTACAAATAGTCGAGAGAGGGACAGGTCCTAAGTCTTTGGTGAGAGGAGCGAATGGGTGCCGAGGGCTCGGTCGCTTCTCGGCTATGTACTTGTGTGTTATAATTAGTTCAGGGTTCGAGTCCCAATCGGTGTGATGGGCTGCGATGCCAAAAAGGTCCAATGCCCCTTGTGGGACGCCCTGCTTTCCCTTTTATAGGCCAAGGAAAAGCATGGGTTACAGTGGAGGAAGAGAAGAGAACGAGAGGAATGATTCATTCAGGATCGCCAAGTCCTTCTTCTCCTCTATGCGGGTCCCGCCGCGACCCTATCTAATAGGGACATCTTCGCCGCGCCCTATATTCATCACTTTGGCGCCATGTGCGTGCATCGTCTGCCGGTCATGGCGCTCCACTCTGTCCTGGCGGACGTCGTGGCGCCCACGCGCCGTCGTTGTTCATGACGGGGTTAAGCGTAGCAGACACCAGACGCCTGATTCGACGCGTGAACCCCTGTGTATGGCCTATCGTGGGGCGTGGCTACATCGAGGCGCGCGCTCCTCACCGGTGTGTCGAGCTTTGACCTGACCCATACGCTTGGACCTGGAGTGGTTGGTGGCGGTATGGGTCTCCGTCGGGCGAGACGGAGCCCCCGGCCTTGGGGTCGGGCGAGGCGGAGTTCCTCCCAAGAGGCCGGGCGAGGCGGAGCGCAAACCCAAGGCTTGGGCGAGGCGGAGCCCAAACCCAAGGGTCAGGTGAGGCGGAGCCAGCCCTTAGAGGTTGGGCGGCGTGAGCCAGCGTGTATAGTGTGTCGTGGGGCGCGGAATCCACCTCGGGGTCGTGCGGGCTCTACCCAGCTCTCGAGAGGTCAGGCGAGGCCAGACCTCATGGCCCGTGTCGGCGTGGACGGTCGGGTGGTTGGTGGCGCGGAGCTCGCCCCTGGGAGGAGGAGCCCCTCGAGGTCGAGCGAGGCGGAGCCCGCGGCCTCGGTGTTGGGCGAGACGGAGCCCGCCCCCAGAGGTCGGGTGAGGCGGAGTCCGCCCTCAGGGGTTGGGCAAGGCGGTGCCAGCCCTCAGAGGTCGTGCGAGGCAGAGCCCGCGGCCTCGGTGTCGGGCAAGGCGGAGCCCGCGGCCTCGGTGTCAGGCGAGGCGGAGCCAACCCGCAGGGGTCGGGCGAGGCGGAGTTTGCGCACCTAGGGGTCGGTTGGAGTTGTAGTCGCGCTCTTGACTGCTCGAACGAATCAATGTTGATGATTATTAGCTCCTCTTCGGGTACCCTAGTATCGGTCCCCGACACACGCGCGCGACGAGAAGAGAAGAAGGGGGCTACCGGCGGAAGAGGAGGAAGGCCGCGGCCACGAGCCTCACCAGCAGCAACCCGCTCTGCTCCTGCCTCGACGCCGGCAGGGCCGGATGCGGTGGGTGGTTGAAAGCTCTAGTTTGGTTTTGGTTAATTGATGAAACCCTAAGTGCTAACCTAGTTTATCAAGATGATTATGAGATAGGTAGCACTACTCCAAGTGATGAAGCAATGACGAAGATCATGACAATGGTGATAGCATGGTGATGATCAAATGCTTGAACTTGGAAAAGAAGAAAGAGAAAAACAAAAGGCTCAAGGCAAAGGTATAAAATGTAGGAGCCATTTTGTTTTAGTGATCAAGACACTTAGTGAGTGTGATCACATTTAGGATAGATAGCCGTACTATTAAGAGGAGTGTAACTCGTATCGAAATGCGGTTATCAAAGTGCCACTAGATGCTCTAACTCATTGCATATGCATTTAGGATCTAGTGGAGTGCTAACACCCTTGAAAATATTTGTGAAAATATGCTAACACATGTGCACAAGGTGTTTGTAGGGTTGAGATGGGTTTGGGTCCTCTCTCCCTCCCCCGCCGAGCTTATGAGCCGGGATTCAACGCTTTCGGAAAATGAAATGTCTATTTTCTATTGCTTGTGGGATGTAAAATTCTTGGTGGTTGGCACACTTGAGCAAGGGTGAAGAAGTAAGAGTTGAAATGGAGTTGATCGAAATGATGTCTTTGGCGTCGGTCCTGCGGACGGACGCCGAATCTGTAAGCACCGGACGCCGATGCGAGGCCCGGCCCTGACTTCAATGGTACGATGGTTGGGGTTGAGCACCGGACGCTGGGTGGCTGCGCCCCGGTCAAGGTGGACGGACGACGCCCGTCGAAAAAATCATGCCTCGGGAGCTTTATCGAACGCAGCCGAGACCGGGGCTGGGGCTTGTCGTCCGGTCGATTCAAAGGAGGCGTCCGGTCGAGGTGATGACCGTTGAGTCTGGACACGTGGTGACATCGAGCGACCGGACGCCGAGAGAGGTCGTCACCGACCGAGCGTCCGGGTCGTAACGCTGCTTTTGCCCAAAGTGAAGGGGTATAACGGCTCTATTTGATGGGGGCTCTATTTATAGCCCCATGGCCGCTCAAGGAAAACTCTTGCACATTTTCATTGACATAGCAACCTTGTGAGCTTAGCCAAAGCCCTCCCACTCATCTCCATCATTGATCCATCATCATTGTGAGATTGGGAGAGAATCCAAGTGCATTGCTTGAGTGATTGCATCTAGTGGCACTTGGTATTCGTAGTATGGCATGGATTTCTCTTGTTTCTCTTGGTGGTTGCCACCACCTAGGCGGTTGGAGCAGAGTGAAGGATCGGCACGAGTTGGTGATTGTTCGTGGCCGCCCGGTGATTGTGAGGGGAGTTGTACCTTCCCGCCGGAGTGCCAAAAGGTAACTCTAGTAAATTGCTCGTGTCATTGAGTTACCTCACTTGTGGGTCGGTTCTTGCGGTGTCCTATCGTGTGGACGAGGTTTGTGAAACACCTCTTAGCCCCGAACCACCAAGTGTTGGTCACAATGGGGACTAGCGTGTTGACAAGCACGTGAACCTCGGGAGAAAAATCGGTTGTCTCTTGTCATTCGCATTCTCCCGGTGATTGGCTATATATATTCATCGAGGTAATTGGTTCACTCCCACCACCAGGTATAATCGTCTCACTTACTCATTTACATTTCAAGAAACTAGATACTGCAAGCTCTTTAGTGTAATTAGAATTGAGAGCTTGCCTTGTGCTTTAAACATATCTAGTGGAGCTCTTTAGTGTAGCTTTTGTGAGAGCTCTTAGTGAGTAGTGGTCAAGTAGATTGTGTGCAAATAGATCATTGCAACTAGAATTGTTGGATAGGTGGCTTGCAACCCTTGTAGAGCTAGAGCAAGTTTGCATTTCGCTATTTGTCTTACTAATCAAATTGCTCTAGTTGATTTGTAGTTTTAAATAGGCTATTCACCCCCCTCTAGCCATATTAGGACCTTTCAGTGGTGACGGTGGATGCGGCCCCCTTACGATCATGGCCATGCGACTGGTGAGTGAGAGGGAGCGGAAGAAAAGGTGGGAGAGAGAAGAGAAAGGTGTAGGCCTGGTATCCGTGGGGACCACCTATACAGGCTAAAACGACACTCGCTGTGGGACATATTTTGAAAGCTAGGACGACTGTATTAGGACGGAGGGAGTATTTGAGAGAAGATATAGTCTGTCGGCTTCATCATGTATTTTACATATACTTGTTGCATTGATTCGTTGAATTGATCTTTCAACTTCAAACTTACATCCCTGCTTATATCTTAGAACAGAGGAAATATGTTTTATTAACCCATAAATATATGATTTATATTTGAAATCAACAAAAACTGGAACGAAAACTCAAAAGTACTCTACTTAGGTTCCCTACACTACAATCCCAGTCCACTCTGGCCTCTCCACATGTTGACCCGGTGGAGGACCGGGCTTATAAATGGACGCCCAGCTGCCAGAGCTCACAGAGCTAGAGCGGCCTGGAGCTGTGCCTGTCATACCCATCCATCTGAGTCTGGGTCTCGGCTCGGAGAGGCCACGGCCACCCACGACCCACCCATGGCGGAGGAGAGGCTGGAGGCGGCCGCTGCCGACGAGTACACGCAGGACGGCACGGTGGACCTCCACGGCAACCCGGTGCTCCGCTCCAAGCGGGGAGGGTGGAAAGCCTGCGGCTTCGTCGTAGGTACGCAAGCAGCTAGCTACCCTATATACCATGAATCCTTATGCTCCTACCATGGTTTGTGTTTCCGAGCTCCTCAAAGCTAGCTAGCGGTAGCGAGCTAACTAGGCCTTCTTCTCGACACACCTGCCTGTCATGGAGAGGCTCAGTAGAAGCACACATATCTATTTCATGTTTGAAATAAAGAAAATTACATTATCGGGTTATTCGACGGCGGTAAAAGTAGTTTCGCAAAATGAAACGAACCAAAAAGCTCTGTTTTTACTCACCACTAATTAAAACCAGGCTTGGTCTGGGTAAACAAACACTAAACACGCTAATGTTAAAGTACTAGCACAAGCTTGTAGTTTAGCTCTGGCGGGCACATGCACATGACAGAAAATTAGGGCCCTGACGGTGACGGTTGGTAGGAATAGGATCGATGGTAGGCAGGCTGGTAGCACCGCGCTGAAGCCAAAACTTTGGTAGTTTGGGTGGACCAGTATCCATCTCAATCTATGTGATCCAAACAAACCCGTGGTTGCATAATTTGGATCTCCACCGATTGGGCACTCGGGCGATTCAAATCCTAGCTGCTGCTATCGGACCAGTACTTGCATAGTTGCATCTAGCTCATCAGCCTCTCCATTTCGAGCGGCAGCGCCCAAGTTGGTTCGCGAAACACGCCATTGTGAGCATGAGAGCTTCTCCATGGATGCTGAGCCAGAGTACATCACAGAAGATCTATGGCGCTTGCACACTGGGGTGTCTCCATGCAAGCTGAGCTGAGGCTGTGTATACTACCATAGTATACTAGGAAATGAAATGTCAGTTCCGCAAAAAAAAAAAATGTCACATATAGATAGTTCAGGCCCACTGAACTTATTACTACAAAAGACTACAATTTTTAGATGCATTCTTGATAACCAAATATATAAGTAAAACTAGTAATATTTTTTACAACAAATAGGTATAACATGAAAATATATCCCATGATAAATCTAATATACTTATTTTATATCATAAATATATATTTTTTATTTATAGTTAGTCAAACTCAAGATACTTCAAGCATATGTGAATAAGAAAGGCCATTGTTTAGTTCTTGCTTATCATTGAACTAAAAGATTCTCAGAGTATATTAGCAGCTTGCCGCGAATAATCACCATTGTTTAGTTCTTGCTTATCGTTGAATTAAAAGATTCTCAGAGTATATTAGCAGCTTGCCGCGAATAATTTGTGTCCACACATGGGTAAAAAATGTTGAAAAGTCAGGCTGAAAAGAACTATTCGTTAATTTGTTGTGAGAGAAAAATATTTTATCAAAGCGAACACGACCGATGGCCCTTCTTTTTGAACTGTGGCAGCAAACAACAGTGTCCTAGCTTCCCCTGCAGGCTGATTGATTCTGAAGCTTGCTGAGAGGAAAAGCAGAGGTAACTGCTGGGGAATTAGGGGATGCTTGTCCTGTCACCAAGCGTTTGGAATTATTAGCCTTGTACCAATCGAGGATTTTGCTGCCGTGCTTCCATCAGATTTCGACTTGGTATTGTGCTACCCAAGACAACGAAGGCACGTTGTGTTGTGTTTGTCCATTTCCAATTATTTTAAGACATATAGATGTCGTGTGCCTCTGTCATAGAGTAGGATGCTATTTACATACACGATATATATATATATATATATATATATATATATATATATATATATATATATATATATATATATATATATATATATATATATATATATATATATATATATATATATATATAAAAGACCAACACGAAACCCCTTTTAACAATTGTGAGGCTAAGTCACACGGGCGACTTGTTCAGAGATTTTGTCGTCAAATTTAACCGATACTCTCTTCGTCCCAAAATAAGTTTTTATCTCGTATTTTGAGAAGTCAACTAATCTCAATTTTAACTAGGTTTATAAAAAAATAGTATCAACATTTTTATCTTCAAATATGTTTACTATATATAAAAATATATAACGTCATTAATCTAATGATATTTATCTTTTATCACAAATATTAATATTTTTTTGTATATATTTGATCAAAGTTAATATTATTTGACATCTCGAATATGAGATCGAGACTTATTTTGGGAAGAAGTACAGTAGGAGTATCTTTTTAACACGGAGTTGCTCCATCGGAGATTCGTTTCTTGAGATATACGTATATATGGAAGATAGCCCTTGTGGTGGTTTGTTGACAAACGCTAAGCTCAAGAGTCGTTGGAGCCGTAAGAGCATCTTCAAGAGTTTGTTAAAATTTACTTGGTAAATCTTGTGATTTGTCAATTCTAAAATTATATGCTAAGTAAAAAACAATCCATCTCTAAGAGTTTGGTATTTTTGACTTGGTAAAATAAAAAAACCCGTTAACAAAACGAAGAGGCCCGCTAAGCGAACGAAGAGCCCCGCTAAGCGAACGAAGAGCCCCAGATACCAAGCCGTATACGCACGCGTATATTTGCGCGCGCGGAGGGAAGATTTGTCAAGTTGCTATTGATGCCAAGTTGTTTTGCCAAACTATTGGAGGCTATTTTTTCTTATTTTACCAAAATTATATGGATATCAAATTAAGATAGCAAATTCTTAGAGATGCTCTGAGATCGGCTAGGCTGGGGTCCAGCTACGGGAAGAAAGAGTAGTACGCAGTCTCTCTTGCATGCCATCTCTTTCGTACGTGTCGTCGAGTTTTGCTCCTGGTTTGCCGATCCGTTCTGGTTCTGTGCAGAATCAAGTGCAAACAGTATATATAAAAAGAGAGATATATAAATAAATAAATGAAGAAATAAATAAAATAAAGCAAGAGTCTGTCTAACCAGAAACTCTGCTTCAAAGTTATTATAAGCATATCTCACTTGACATGTACACTAGATGGGTCTATGCCCTCGTACAACTTATTGATATCTTGGGCCATCACTAAGACGTGTTGTATTGAATATTTTCTCTATTTCTTAATATAAAGACCATAAACCTATTACGTGTTCACTTGAATTTATCAACCATACTTTTTCAGTGAAGAAATAATATTTTTCTCTCATAACAAATCAGCATCAGCATTAGTCAAATTTCAGCGAGCCGAACAGGGCCGCATATACTACTATTTGAAGTTATATGTGCATGGTGTAGTTAAAGTACTAGTTGTGTGTAGCTATTATATGTGCATGGTGCATTTGAATATCCACCATGTTCGCTTGATCATTTCTATGGTTTATAAGTCGGCCCATGCTGTTTTATTGTGAGAGAAAAACACTCTATTATAGTTAATAAGATGGCTGAACATAGTGATCGCACTTAGACATGTAGTTACATGTGCTGATGTGTGCATTTGAAACAGAGCCTCCACGTACTAGTATCTGATTTCTTGTCTTGGAATTGCGCACGTACATACGCAGTGTACGAGGTATTCGAGCGGATGGCGTACTACGGCATCTCGTCCAACCTGGTGCTGTACCTGACGACGAAGCTGCACCAGGGCGTGGTGCCGTCCGCCAACAACGTCACCAACTGGGTCGGCACCATCTGGATGACGCCCATCATCGGCGCCTACGTCGCCGACGCGCACCTCGGCCGCTACCGGACCTTCATGATCGCCTCCGTCATCTACCTCTGCGTGAGTCGCCGCCGCCGCCGCCGCCGCCTCGTCGGTGTTTCGTTTGTCTCCGTATATCTCAGCAGCCGTTTCCTCTGTTCGCTTCTTTCTTGGAATTGGATGCTGCTGCTTTTGCTTGCTTCCGCAGCTTGCTTGCCTGCTTGGTGTGGTACCTGTTGTTTTCAGTCTGCTTCTGGTTCTCTTTAAGAAATCACAAAAAAAGCCCACCACAGCGATGTTTAGTTTATATGGGCCGTCAATCTTGTGACAAACTGAAAAAAATGCCCACCATTTCTCAGGGCATGATCCTGCTGACGCTGGCGGTGTCGCTGCCGGCGCTGCGGCCGCCCAAGTGCGGCGCCGGCACGGCGGACCCCAACTGCGTGCAGCAGGCGACGAGCGCGCAGCTGGGCGTCTTCTTCCTGGCGCTGTACATCCTGGCCGTGGGCACGGGCGGCACGAAGCCCAACATCTCCACCATCGGCGCGGACCAGTTCGACGACACCCACCCGCGGGAGCGCAGCCACAAGCTGTCCTTCTTCAACTGGTGGATGTTCAGCATCTTCTTCGGCACGCTCTTCGCCAACACCGTGCTCGTCTACATCCAGGACAATGTGGGCTGGACCGTCGGCTACGCGCTGCCCACGCTGGGGCTCGCCGTCTCCATCGCCATCTTCACCGCCGGCACGCCCTTCTACCGTCACAAGCCCACCTCCGAGAGCCCCTTCGCCAAGATGGCCAGGGTCATCGTGGCGGCCGCCAGGAAGCTGGCCGTCTCCGTGCCCGTGGACCCGCGCGACCTGCACGAGCTCGACGATGAGTACTACGCCAAGAAGAAAGCGGTCCCGCTCCCGCACACGCCCAACCTCAACGTCCTGAGCAAGGCGGCGGTGAAGACCGGCGGCGGTGAAGAAGACCGGTGGTCGCTCAGCACGGTGACGCAGGTGGAGGAGACGAAGCAGATGCTCAAGATGCTCCCCGTGCTGGCCATCACGTTCGTGCCCAGCGCGATGATGGCGCAGATCAACACGCTGTTCGTCAAGCAGGGGACGACGCTGGACCGGCACATCGGCCCGCGCTTCGAGATCCCGCCGGCGAGCCTTCAGGGGTTCGTGACCATCTCCATGCTGGTCGCCGTCGTGCTCTACGACCGCGTCTTCATGCCGTTCGCGCGCCGGATCACGGGGAACCCGCGCGGCATCTCGCTGCTCCAGCGGATGAGCGTCGGCCTCGTCATCCACATCATCATCATGGGCATCGCGTCGGTGACGGAGCGGCACCGCCTGGCGGTGGCGCACGAGCACGGGCTCTACGACAGCAAGAACACCACCATCCCGCTCACCATCTTCGTGCTGCTCCCGCAGTTCGTGCTCATGGGCGTGGCCGACGCGTTCCTGGAGGTGGCCAAGATCGAGTTCTTCTACGACCAGGCGCCCGAGGGCATGAAGAGCCTCGGCACGTCGTACGCCATGACGAGCCTCGGCGTCGGCAACTTCCTCAGCAGCGCGCTGCTCTCGACGGTGTCGCACATCACGGAGCGCCACGGCCGGACCGGGTGGATCCTCAATAACCTCAACGCCTCGCGGCTGGACAAGTACTACGCCTTCTTCGCCATTCTCAACTGCGCCAACCTCGTCGCCTTCTTCTTCGTGTGCCGCTTCTACGTGTACAACGCCGAGGTATCCCGCGTCGTCGACGCCGGGAGCACCAAGCAGAATAAGCAGCGGGAAGTGGCGATGCAGCCGGCGTCCGTGGGCGCAGTGGAGGCCACCCTATAGGTGTAGTAGTGTTCCATTACATACAAATGTAGTTGTCATACTCATACATACGTGATAACATGAAGATCTGCGTGTACATTGCGTAATCTCTGCATGCACAAGCATTGGATGTGATGAACAAGAACTCTGACGTTACGTGTTGCTTGGAGTTGTATTCCTATCTCCTAGCAGCTTGGGCCATTCCGGCAATGAAAGCTTGTTGTCTGTTCGGCTGGTATAGTTTTGGATGGGCTGGTAGGACTGCTGATCAGTCAACAGTGATGAATCAGCCAGCTTCAGCCGAACAGAGAAGTCCCGGCCCAGGCTACATAGCAGCATTAAATGGCATTCAAATTTAAAACTGGTGTTCACTAAACAAATTCAAATTCTGGCGCCAAACAACAAGGCATGCCATTGCCACTTTAAACCAACAGTTGACAAACAAGTTAATTGAACACCACAAGTTTCATACATTATACACATTGACCCAGTTGAACTTGAAATATTGGACAAGTTTACATACCAGTTCTTGCATGCCTCAATAGGTTCTAACCATAAATACAAATTACAGTCCATTTCAACGTTCCAGACAACAACTTAATACAACATAGCACTACCTACATATTGGACCATTCCAACGTTATATGGTTACGCATACATGAAACATTTACAAAACTTGTAGCCTTCATGAAGCCACAAAGCAAACTGCACGGACAAGCCTTTGGCTGGACAAGTCCACATGCAACCTGCAATTGCACATACACCTTCGCCTTCGTTCTTCGCCTGCATGCACCACCAAGTATCATATATATATAATTCAAACCACAACCCATCTATCTTTAATTCACCTACTTTCCATCCTAAGTTACATCACCTCTGCACAATCATTCTCCCCAGAGCCCCAAAGATATGTACTCCCTCATTGCTATCATAGTATTACTTGCATTGAGCTGCGCCCTGACAGATGGTGGGTAGGTAGGCGAACCAAATCCATGCTCCCGAATGAACAAATAATTGTGCAGTGCAAAGCATGACATAATAATCATCTTTTGCTTGTCCCTATGGCAGTAAGGTACCCCATCCAGAATGTGCCACTGGCCTTTCAGAACCCCAAATGTTCGTTCGATGACATTGCGTAGCCTAGAATGAGTCAAGTTAAATTTCTCATGTCGAGACATAGTCTCAATAGGTACACCCCTAAAATCATCCAGATGGTACCTTGTATTTTTGAAAGGGCCCATGTATCCAGACTCCTGTGCGTATCCAGCGTCCACCAGATAGTAGCGTCCTACAACACATGAACCATTTGCATAATTAGTTTTTCTTTTCTGCCCAAGCAACTAAAAAAATGTAGGTCCAATAATTGCATGGCAGTCCTCACTCACCGTGTGGTGGATGCAGGAAGTTTGGTTCCTCCCAACATTCTTTCAGGACCGACATGTCATGCACCGACCTCGCTATCCCCGCACCGACATATGTGAAGCGGTCATCCATATCGACAATGGCACAAACATTAATACTTACATCTCCTTTCCTATTTATATGGTCAACTTTGGCCTCCTTATTCACCTTAACTTTAACGTGAGTGCCATCCAAAGCCCCGATGTATCCATCAAAGAATGGTGCATATGTTCCAAGTTGCCATTTCACTCCAACATAAGTGCTATCAGCTGGAACAAGAATAGAGTCTGCCCACCTACAGATAACCTCGGCGACATGAGTCACCTTCCTACTAACTGTATCTAAAGACCGTTCGAATCTATCCCTGCTCCTTCTAAGTGCTTGGTTGTGAGCACAAGTCCACACATATATACCTAAAGTTTCTAGGGATCCTGTCTGTCGTGTACCCTTTAGTCCAAACCCAAGTAAAATGACATGCAAATGCATGAAGTCATCAGGAGACATACGCAAGTTGTCCAAGCACTTTCGTTCGTTTCGCAGATTGAGTTCCATCCATTGTTTCCCGGTCATCTTCGGGAAGGGGAGGTCCGGGTTCACCACTGGAGCCGCATTGGCCACCGCTGCTTTGTACTTTGCAAGCAGGACAACAGTAGCCGCCAAGTTGAAAATGGGCGGTCCTTCGCTGGAGTTGTCGCTGATGTTGGAGTCCTTAGTGGTGCTCATCTGCAAAAACATGATTTAGTCCTAAATTTGTACGGCTTGTTTATGAAGAAATGAGTTAATAGAGTATCAAATATGAACCTTCAAATTGGTTAGGTCTAGATGAAGGGTCTGCAGGTTTCAATAGTACACTAATAGAGTCTTGTCTTGTTTACGTACCAATGAAGGATTAAATGAGAGCTGAACCTAGAACACCAATTAATAGTGATACTCTGGTTGCAATTGTAGATGAGCCTACAACACCAATTAAGAGCAATTTAGGAATCAAGGAGCATATACTACCTATATGCACACAAATGTAGAGAAGGATTCGTACCTCGGTACTCAGTGATGACTGCAACAGCTACCTCATTCTGAAAAATGCGGAGCCAGTACACCACAGAACACATGAAAAAATTGAAATGTATGTTGAACAAAGATATGTACATCATAGAACACATTTTATTTGGATTTCGGGAAAAAAACAACACACAATGTTCAGGCCATAGACCACATTAGAACGATGGAACTTAAACAAATATTGTCAACGATATAGTAGAACTCAACATGCACGTTTTGGAAAATAAAACTACATAACTGCAGCAGTGGGAGTGCTTGTTCGGATAACATCTACTTGGATCTAGATCTCCTGTCCTCTCAGTAGATCTGTAGAAAGTTGAGGCGGCCCTCTTTTGTTTCCATGGTCAGAAAAGTTCCTACGGTGCAGTGTGTTTGTGCAAATAATTAAAGCATGAGCATAAATAACATCAGACTCTCCCAAACCATCTTCTTTCATAATCTTGACCACTTTGTCCATCTCTTCTTCCTGCTTGCTGATACGGGCCTTCTGCAGCTTATGGTCTTTAATGATGTCGGTCAGGTCGTTAAGGCAGTCATCAATGGAAGCACTCTTCTTACTGGGAGGGCTGTTGCAGAGTATTCTCTAGTGGATCTCTTGGAGGACTGACCAACACTCTAGACACCTACGGGGTCTGGTGACATGTCGTATGGACTATCATGGCTGGCAGTACTGGGTGTCCTCTCGTGATGATGGCCACCAGAAGATAGGCAACGTACCCTTGTCGTGGGGGTGTCCCCCCAAAGAGTGATCAGTAGGTCAAGGCATTTGGGAATTTTGGTCCGCTCCGTAGTAGATTTGCTATTTTCCTGCACACGTGTGGCATGGTTCCACAGGTTAGAAATGAGTAGAATGGGAACATCCCTAGTACTTGGTAGTCAGGGGGTTAGAAAGGAATTAGGTGGAAGTTAGTACCCCGTTGCCACCCTCAAAGAACGAGGGGTCAACTATGACGCCTCCTGTATTCGGGTCACGGCCTAGGCCAGTGTGGTTTGAAGGTCGCGCCAAGTAAAATATGCCCGCTTCATCTCGTTGAACTTGTTCTGCAGCTATCTCTTGTCATACGGCAACCCCGTTGCCTTTTCGAATGCTAGGATACATTTGCCCAGCCGAGGGTTGTGAGGCTTCTCTGGTTCCAGTGCAATAGATTTTTCTGTTCTATCACTAGTTTTAGTTTTAGAAAGGTCCTCAAGGTGGTGTCATTCCTTTTAGCATGATCCGTGGTCATCTGTTGCTAAGGCTGGATAACGAGCTAGCTCGGCTCGGCTCGGCTCAGCTCGTTTTGGCTCGATAAGATAACGAGCTAGCTCGGCTCGGCTCGTTATCTTAACGAGCCAGAAAGCCAGCTCGGCTCGACTCGTTAAAAGCTCGAGCTGGCTCGTTAAGCTCGCGAGCCAGGTATAAAAAATACATAAAATATAATATTTGCATTTATCTAAAGTTTGAGAATAATAATAATATAAAAAAATGCATTTAGATCAGTTACCAGTCAATTTATAGGGTCAAGACCAGTTACCTGTCAATTGTAAAGTGCAAGGCATGAAGCAATACAAAAACTAATATAAGTTTTGTTACTTTTTTTCCCAAAGCTTGGCTTGAGTTGGCTCGTTATAGCTAACGAGCTAAAATCTTGGCTCGGCTCGGCTCGGCTCGTTTCATAATGAGCCGAGCCGAGCCGAGTTGAGCCAGCCATGAGCCGAGCGAGCTAACGAGCTTTGAGTTTTTCATCCAGCCTTATCTGTTGCCATGTTGAAAATGTTTGGTATGATGTATGCACCATAGATGAAAAATGCAGAAGTTGTAAGAGTTACAAACAGGAGAGTTAGGGCTAAGAAATTGGGACATGCCTTGGCAAAATGCTTGGCGCGTTTTGAGCAGAGATTGTAGTGTCTGGCTTCAGGTGAAAAGCACGACGAAGTGGACGACGCTGCCAGTGTGGCAGCATTGAGCAACAGTTGGTAGCACGTCCATGAAATCGTTGCAGAAAGGGAAATAGTTCAAATGAGAGCGGTACACTGCGAGAAACAAGTCAACACGGACACAGGTGCATGAGAACGAACCTATGGTCCCCGGATCCGATGAAGCGGCAAGCGATTCCGACGAGCTAAGAGGGGGATCCGTGGGCGGCGCTCGGGGTACACCTGCAAAAAGAGTACGTGGGGGTCAGATCCAGAGTGGGGGACGACGACGGCCTCAGAGCCGGAGGAGGGGGACGACGACGGCATCAGAGCCGGAGGGGGGGACGACGGAGGCGTCAGATTCGGAGGGAGGGGGACGACGGCGGCGTCGGATCCGGGGGGAGGGATGCGGAGCTCATGTTCGTCACGGAGGCTGTCGACGGCGAGGGGGCCCCCTCACGGCGTAGAGAGGCTGGAGGGGATGGAGCCGATGACAGCTGTCGGTGCAAGCACAGCGAAGCAGAGCTGACGGCCTGCGCGGAGGAAAGAGGAGGAGGGGCGAGCGAGTGCAAACCCTAGCCGCGCGGCACGTAGGGGAACGGACTGAGGCAGGGAGCAGAACGTGGCCGGGAGGTTGGCTATTAGGTCAGCCGTTCGGCTGGACCTGGGCCGCCAAACGGCTGAGCTGATCAGCCCAGCCAAAACCAGTCCAGCCAGCCGTTTTAGCCCAGCCGAACATGGCTTGATTGGTAAAAATGCGGAATCATAGCACAAACCTCTTGAATCTTGACGGGAAAGCAAGATATTCAGTCGACATGTTTCATTCTTTCCACTCGCAAAACAGTTTAGTCTTTAGTGATGAGAAACTAAGAGATAAGTGGTTTTCTTTTCCTATAAATCAATGTTAAAAGAAATTGAAGGAACAAAAAACAAGCTCTACTAACAGATCCTCTTTATAATTTTTTTTTCTAAATTCTTCTATCAGTCCCTTGAAGAAGGGAGGGCAAATCAATCGCATTTCCCTTTCGCTCTTCATGCCATGCACACGCATGGTGCGAGCAGGTCGTCATTGCCGCGCCGAGCCACCGCCCTTGTGCCAAGCTGATGTGCCAACCATGCCGCCGTTGCGCGAGCGAGCGCACAGGCGACCACTGGGTGAGCAAGCTGCCACCGCCACCGCCACACCGAAGCAGAGCGGGCGGGCGGGGGCCGGGGGCGAGCAAGTGGGTGGCCAGTGGCCACGCTGCGCTAGCTATGCTGCCGCTTGGTGAGCGGGCGGGCGGGCAGGCAACCGCGTCGGGCGAGCATGCTGCCACCGCAGGGCCGACCGGCCGAGTCTTGGTCCCCGCGTTGGGCTGCTGCCACCACTCTTGGTCGCCCGTGTCCTGTGTGCTCAATGCAGAGTATGAAGGAAGTGATAAGAAACAACGGAGAGAGGTCATTTTTTATCTTGAGTTTATAATAACTGGTGGGTCCCTCACACTATATGTGTTTCTCTGTCTTTTGCAACGCACCTCTCCTGAAACCTAAAAACCTATTTTTTTAATCCCCTATACAAGATTTCAAAGGGAAAAGGGAAATGTGATCTAGTGGAATTGCTCTAAGGATACAACATAGTTGTTGTGTTGTGGAAAAATTGCCTCCTTCTCTGGCTACTGAGTCAATCGACAAAGGTTTTTGTATAATTTCAAGGATCCTCCAAATGGCATTTGGGCCCGCATAGGGGTAGAGTAGTAGAATCAAACATGATTGTATCCCATCCGGTGCGTGTCGTTCCACTATCACCCTTCTTTTGCTCCTTGAGAGGCTTGGGCCAGACGTGACCAATATCGTCATCGCATAGTGTATCTTGCTCTTGGCGCTTGGCACATTAAAACCATGTTTGTTTGATCTTGAGAAGGGAGGGATTGAAGGGGGCAAAGGAGGATTTTGATTTGTAGGGGAGAGAATCCCTTTCAACCCCCCTTGGGTTTATGATCAAACGAACAAGCTCTAAAGGTAAATATAAAGATCATGTCCTCAACTCGCTATGATCTTCTAGTGATCTAGTTTGCCATGATACCTTGCCTTCTAACCTACACAGTTCAACACACGGATTTAGTTGGGGGCAGACAGAAGGGCCTACGCCCTTGAGTCTAGTTACTCGTCCATACGGTTCCAATGAGCACTCCGAAGTTCATGGTCACATGTTCAAAGTGGGAATGCTTGGTCCATTTTGCTTTTGCCCTTGGTCATGTGGCGAGGGTCTCCTTCTGCCCTAGAGTGGTGTAGGGCCCCTTCTGCCCTAAAGTAGTGCAGGGTCTCCTTTCTGCTCTAGAGTGATGTATTTGTGTCCCCAATTAGTCAACAGTAATATTAGCTATGAACTTTCTTTTCCCTAACTAGCTTTGGACTTTTGTTCTCCTTCTGTGCAAGCTTAGAATTCTAGCTATCTATAGCAAGCTTTGCTTTGTATATTAAAAAAACAATATTTGTTGGCTTTCTGTTAAAGTTGGATTACTCTTGGCATGCTTGTATATAAAAATCTAGCTAAACTTTAACTTGAAGCTTATAAGACATTAAATAGCTCTTAAAATATAGTTTAGAGATAAAGAAAATAGTACAATAGATGTGTGTTGAATGGGAGTTGCTATATTTTAGGTGTCAGACAACCATCTTTACAATTAAAATAACAATGCAACTTACGGAGACAATTTTTCTGTAGCCAAAAAATCAGTCACATATAGGAGAGGTGAAGTCATAAACATCGTATATTTTTTATCGGATGGAGAATACTTCTCGTGAAAAGGTTAGCATTATTTATAACTCAATAACTCATATAACAGGCCGCGCCGCGCCCGGCCTTCCCTTACTGTCTTGCAAGAAGAATCGGCCATGGCACCAAATCGTGATGCCCAAGAAAGTGAATCAGGGGCAGGCGGATGCGGCGAGAGAAATCCCAAGCCCAGGCTCCCTTCTCCTCCCAAAAGATCAAATACGCACTCCAACACCATCCCAGATCCAGTCTATTATTCGATTTGTTTTTGTCCGGGCTGGATTCAGGAAGATGTGACGGCAGCGCTGCTGCATTGATTTGATCGAATGATCGGACTCTGGCTTGGATACGAATTCACAACGCTGTGTATATAGTTTTGGAGACCCCCGACGCCGCACGCCTTCGGTTGCAAGAGCCCTGTCCTCTTCTTGCTTCTCACGCGCGTGCCCGGGCTGGAGCTTGGAACCGATCTCATGGCGGCGGTGACCCACAAGCGCCCGGCGCCCATGGGAGACTGCTGTCCCGCGGTGTCCGGCAAGACGAAGCGGGCGCGCTACGACCACGACCTGGGGAGCATCTACAACTACAAGAATCTCGAGACGCTCGGCGAGGGCACCTACGGCACCGTGGTGAAGGCGCAGGACGAGCGCACGGGCGAGACGGTGGCGGTCAAGTGGATCCGCCCCGACGACGAGGGCGTGACCGACCTCGGCGCCGTCTTCCGCGAGGCCGCCTGCCTGGAGGCGTGCCGAGGCGACCCCTCGATCGTGCAGATGAAGGAAGTCGCCGCCGACGAGGTCACCGGTCACGTGTTCATCGTGACGGAGTTCGTGGGGCCTAGCCTCGCGCGCCACCTCCCGCATCGCTTCTCCGGCGCCGAGACCCGCGCGATCATGCGCCAGCTCCTGCGCGGCGCCGAGACGCTACACGGCGCGGGCATGATCCACCGCGACATCAAGCCGGACAACGTCCTCGTCGGCCCCGGCGGCGCGCTGAAGATCTGCGACCTCGGGATGGCGGCGCGGACGAGGCCCGCGGGTGGTGAACCGTACCCGGAGGAGACCGTTGCCGCGCTGTGGTACCGCGCCCCAGAGCTGATGAGGGGGTCCCGGTCCCGGCGGACCTATGGCACCGCCGTGGACATGTGGGCGTTGGGGTGCGTGATGATCGAGCTACTCATCGGCGAGCCCCTGTTCAAGGACGCGGAGACGGAGGACGACGTCCTCCACCGGGCGCGTGACCTGCAGTACCAGATGGAGTCTATGACGGACCTGGCGTCAGATTCCGAGTTCCTGCCTGAGCTGTCCAAGGCCGGGCGCGAGGTCCTGCAAGGCCTGCTCAGTTTGGTGCCAGAGAAGAGACTCACTGCGGCGGATGCGCTCAGCCACCGGTGGTTCGAGGAGGAGGACGCGCCCCTGTCCCCTGTTCTACGTTCTCAGAAGGATCAGCGTGGTTTCATCACTTTCTTGTAGATTATTCATCACTTTCTTGTAGTGTGCAGAACGAGAGGCAGCAGCATCACCTGGTATTGTAGTCTTTAACTCTTGTGCTTTTTTTTTTTTGCTTTACTAGTATGTGCCCATGTGTTGTAGCGGTCAGTGGAAGCCCAAATTTTTTCACCACACCATATCCATGTAGCTGAATACGCCTTGATAAGTTACCCCAAGATTCTCATTTTATAGATATCAATTTTGTTTATTATCGCATCTCTATTACTTTCTAATAACAATCGAGAAACAAATGCTCGTAAGAATGCTACGAGCATCTCAAGAGTTTTTTTTAACTTACTCTCTAAATCCTCATTTAAAAAGGTATATGAATATAAACCAGATATATGCCCGTTGCCCGTGTGTTGCATGTGAAAACGAATTTTTATCTATGTGTATTTACAACGACGCATGTGGCTTTTGGTTTATACGAATTTATTAGGAAGTCAAATCTAATTACAAAGCATATTTCACGATCTTTATCACATACTAGGTAGTGTGCCCGTACGTTCCTACGGGATAACTAACAATTTATACTAAAAACACACGAATCGCATGATAAAATAACAATACTGTTAAATTAAATACCAACGCTAAAGTGACATTTAATCCAAAAAGCAAAGTTTATGAATTTAACACAGTAACGGAGTACGCGGCGTCGCAGGCTCAAACTCTAGAGTCTCCAGAGATTGGGTCGAATCCAACATAGAGCCTCGAAACCCTGCATCTTTTTCTGGACGGGCTTCACTTTGGATGCGCCGGTAGCAATATCAACGATCTCCAGTCGATGGACCAAGTCGTATGGATCCCCATACAATGGCTCAAACATGTAGATTTTGTTCTCATTGTACATAGATACACTTGTTCCACTGAAGCTTTCATTGAAATGTTTAGACACAAACAATGTCTGATCACCGATGTTCCTCACCCTGGACCACTCCAGCGTACGGTCGTGGAGGTTGCACTTGTAGATCGTGCTGCTGTAGGTGAAGCTCTGTGTCTCATAGAACGTGCTCACCATGGCACCCACAATGTGTAGCTCACCGTTTGATTCCAAGTAGCTGCGGTGGCAGAGCTCCGCAGGTGGCGACAGCGATAGCAGCAGCGTCGTGGTTGGAGTAGCGCGGCGGCGTTGCTGCTGCAGACGGAGATTTCTCTAGTGCAGTCGATCGCCAAGAACTTGTCTTGGTAGTGGACGATGGACCCCATGGAGAACTCCAGTTTAGTGTCGAGCAGCGTCCATGCGCTGTCGACTCCAACCCGGCAGAACGCGATCTCCGTGGAGCACCCAAGCATGGCCATGGCCACGCACTCGCGCCCGGCGGCGTCAGGCGACACCGAGAGCACGATCTCAAAGAAGAAACATGTCCCTCATGTCTTCTAGCTTGATGGCTCTACCTGCGGCATCCGCGTCCCCATAGCCGTTGGTAGGATGGAGGACCCACCGGCTGTGGACCCTAGACACGCGTTCCGATGAGGACGTCGCCGCGACGTGTTCGCCTGTTGGCGGGAGCTCAACGCGGGGGGCACGAGCACCGGCGAATGGATTCAGTAGCGTCATGGACGCCGCCTCGTTCATGAGCGCTAGCCACCCACATGAGGAGCCGCACGCCACCTTGCCACGCACGTCGGGCAGCGTCTTGGACAAGACTTTCTTCTCCGGGACGCAATAGAAGCCGACGCGGTCCGAGTCAGGGTCGAATGGGAGCAGCAGGAGCGCCCCGAAGGTCGCGAATGGGACGGCGGCGTGCCATGGGGAGCAAGCGGATCGGAAGGACGCCGCGTCGTGACCTGACGCGAGATGCTGCCCGATGGACTCGAGGAAATCCTCTGGCAGGCCGGATATCCAGTCATGGAGAGGTAGGGAGCTTCTCTTAGGATTGGGAGGCTGAGCCATGGAAGACATATGACATCAACTATGGTTCACGCAAGAAACAACAAGCGAGGGCGATGGAACACATGAGCGTGAAACTAAATGAAAGGAGAAAAAACTGTCCCTTTTGTAAATGCAAAGAGGGGAAGTAATTAAATGTAGACAGATTTGGTAAGGTTCTTAGAAATGTAAAGAGATTTTTTTTGTCTTAATTATCTTTCCTTCTGTGTTAATTCTCTTTTCTTTTGCTCGTTGCCATGTTTGCTGGTGCATGCAAACATGCAATGTGTATATGGATAGCACAATAATTTTCTACTTCCTATTTTGCCGTGATTCCTCTATCACATGACAGGCAATATTCAATCAAGGAGAATGGCACGATCAATCAGTAATTAAGATGCCGTGGGATCGCAGGCGTGGGTAAGGCTAGATAACGAGCTGGCTCAGCTCGTTCAGGCTTGGCTCGTTCTGGCTCGTTAAGATAACGAGCTAGCTCGGCTCGGCTCGTTATTCTAACGAGTCAGAAAGCCAGCTCGGCTCGGCTCGTTAAAAGCTCGAGCTGGCTCGTTAAGCTCGCGAGCCAGGTATAAAAAATACACAAAATATAATATTTGTATTTATCTAAAGTTGAAGAATAATAATAATACAAAAAAAATACATCTAGACCAGTTACCAGTCAATTTATAGGGTCTAGACCAGTTACCAGTCAATTGTAAAGTGCAAGACATGAAATAATACAAAAACTAAGATAAGTTTTGATACTTTTTTTTCCTGGAAGCTTGACTCGTTTAGCTCGCGAGCGGCTCGCGAGCTAGCTTGAGTTGGCTCGTTATAGCTAACGAGCTAAAATCTTGGCTCGGCTCAGCTCGTTATCATAACGAGCCGAGTCGATCTAGCCATAAGCCGAGCGAGTTAACGAGCTTCAAGTTTTTCATCCAGCCTTAGGCGTGGGCAGACGGACGAACCAAAACAAATGTCAGCCGAGCCGAGTCGAGCCAGCCATGAGCCGAGCGAGTTAACGAGCTTTGAGTTTTTCGTCCAGCCTTAGGCGTGGGCAGACGGACGAACCAAAACAAATGTCGTATAAAAAAAAATATCCACACTTTATTCTTTTTAGTTGTAGGAGATAACGTGTAGATGTAGTTTATAGGAACCTAACAAAATTGGATTTACTTTTTTTGGTTAGTATTTCTATGATTCATTACTATACATTTTCAGAAATTAATAACAATCTAATAAATACTTTTGTACTGGGAACCTAAACTATTTTTAAATTCATTCAGTTTTCCTAGCGTTGTGGTGTTATTCTCGGCCTGTCTGTTCGGCCCACGGTCGCTTAGACTAATGGGCCACGTTGTTTTTCCTTCGCTGCTATACATGCACGCGTGTGAGCGGGGCGCAGACGCGCAGGCTCGCTCTCACGGGTGGTTGTGTGTGTGTGTGTGTGTGGGGTGGGGGGGTTGTGGCGCAGACGCTTGCCCAGTGGATAGCGGCGCTTGGCGCAGGAAGGCACGGTTGTCTTCTCCGATACCGTCTCGTAGTTGGACTTGGCGGGCGTGCTCACCAGTTTTGTTGGACGAAAGCTGCACGTATTTTTTAGGTGGTACTAGATAATGCTCTCCATATCTTTTTCACTTTCCAACAATTTTTATATCTCTTATATACGTATGTATTTTGAAGTGTATCTCCACTCTCTATCTTTGACTAGCGAAAATAATGATAATATGACAATATTTGGAATACGAAAAAAATACAATTCTAATGCAGTATCAAGTCATAGTATTTTAAATTTGACTAACTATATATATAAAACAACAACAATAATATTTATGATATCAAATAAGTATCATTAGATTTATCATGAGATACAATAATATACACTTATTTTGTGTTATAAATATTAATGTTTTATCTATATATTTAATCAAACTTGCATTTTAACCAATATAATACACTTGGTGTCGATTTTTTTCATGGATGGAGGTATATAGTACAATTTTATAACAGCAACCAAAGATGTGTAAATCTCACGAGATCTTCTAATAGGCCTGTTCGGCTGGTATTAAAGTCGACTAAACTGTTTTGTTGTGAGAGAAAAATAGTGAGATGATAAGCCGGCTGAGGAAACAGGCCCCTGGTTGTGTAGGTGTAAAAACTTGTCGAAAGTCCAGCCGGAAAAGCCCCACGAAAGCCCTCTCCGGGCCGCGGCTCCTTCCGCTTCCGGTCCCCACCACGCGCCGGACCTAAAATATCCCGACAACCCTACCGCCCCCAAACCCAAATCGGCACCCCGGAATCCCCAATTCCGCTCTCTCCCCCTCTCCCCTACCGCAGCAGCAGGCGAGCGCGAGGCGGAGGCGGAGGAGGAGAGATGGAATCGGACCAGGGCAAGCTCTTCATCGGCGGCATCTCCTGGGAAACGACGGAGGAGAAGCTGAGCGAGCACTTCTCCGCATACGGCGAGGTTACGCAGGCGGCCGTCATGCGCGACAAGATCACCGGCCGCCCCCGCGGCTTCGGGTTCGTCGTCTTCGCCGACCCCGCCGTCGTCGACCGAGCGCTGCAGGACCCCCACACCCTCGACGGCCGCACGGTATGGCAACCCCACCTCTTCGCCTGACGCGAAACCCTAGGTCGAATATTCGCAAACCAGCGCGGAATATTCGCCCCGGTCGTCTTCTGATCTGCCCCACCGTCCGAACTTGACCAGGATTTCTCTCGGTTTTGCTGGTAATTTTGTTGCCTCAGGTCGATGTGAAGCGGGCACTCTCGCGGGAGGAGCAGCAGGCCTCCAAGGCCGCGAACCCTAGCGGTGGGAGGAACACTGGTGGTGGTGGAGGCGGAGGAGGCGGTGGTGGCGATGCAAGTGGTGCTCGGACCAAGAAGATCTTTGTGGGCGGGCTGCCCTCTACTCTGACTGAGGATGGGTTTCGGCAGTACTTCCAGACCTTTGGCAGCGTCACTGACGTTGTTGTCATGTATGACCAGAACACGCAGCGCCCACGTGGTTTCGGATTCATCACCTTTGACTCTGAGGATGCGGTTGACCGCGTGCTGCACAAGACCTTCCATGATCTTGGTGGGAAGCTGGTTGAGGTGAAGCGTGCATTGCCCCGTGAGGCGAACCCTGGTGGCTCTAGTGGTGGGCGTTCTGGGGGAAGTGGGGGTTATCAGAGCAACAATGGCCATAACACCAGCTCTGGTAGCTATGATGGTAGAAGTGATGGTGGCAGGTACGGGCAGGCACAGCAGGGTAGTGGTGGCTATCCTGGCTACGGTGCAGGAGGCTATGGTGCTGGGGCAGCTGGATACGGATATGGTGCTAACCCTGCAGTTGGATATGGAAATTATGGGGCTGGAGGATATGGAGGTGTTCCTGCTGCTTATGGTGGACATTATGGAAACCCAGGCGCAGCTGGTTCTGGTTACCAAGGTGGACCTCCAGGCTCCAATAGAGGACCTTGGGGCAGTCAAGCTCCATCTGCATATGGAACTGGAGGTTACGGTGGTAGTGCTGGCTATAGTGCTTGGAACAACTCTTCTGCTGGTGGCAATGCTCCCAGTAGTCAAGCCCCTGGTGGACCTGCAGGCTATGGAAGCCAGGGCTATGGGTATGGTGGATATGGAGGGGATCCATCGTACGCTAGTCATGGAGGATATGGGGCTTATGGAGCACGCAGTGATGGTGCTGGCAATCCTGCTACTGGTGGAGCATCTGGATACAGTGCAGGCTATGGAAGTGGGGGTGCCAACTCTGGCTATTCAAGTGCTTGGAGTGATCCTTCGCATGGTGGTGGATTTGGCAGTTCAGTCAATGGAAGTGCTGAAGGGCAATCAAATTATGGCACTGGCTATGGCAGTGTGCAGCCCAGGGTTGCTCAGTAAAAAGAGGCATTTTGAGTGTCTGAAATGAACCAGCACATCTGGGCAGTCTATGTATTGATTTGTCATTCCAGTCTCTCTGATTGCTCTCAGCATTCTGAAGATTGTCCATTTGCTGGTTAAATCAGTATTTCTCCGGGTTGGAATGCTTGATCCTTTAGTGGCTTACTACTAGAACTTCTAGTCAATAAGTAGCTATAATGTGGAGTAGCAGTATCTTGCAGAATGCTTTTTTATTAATTTTTACATTTAGCTTTATCCATCTGTGTGCTTTGCCGTGAGTGGAGTTCAGCTTGCTTCATCTCTAGTTATAAGCTAGAGTAGCTTGACTGCTTATGGACAAAATTATCTAGTTGTACCTCTATTCTAAAGATCATATATTTGTGTTTGATGGTAGTATTTATGCTGGATCTTGCTCTACCTATGTTCTGGAATGTTCTATATTTGGTGGTTGTATTGATATGTGGTATTATCAACATTGATGGTTTGAAACAGATGCAAACCCTGAAATATGCAGTAATAGTTGCTTGATGCTGTAGCTGCTTCTAACAGTATGTTCAACTGTAGTGCAAGTGTTTTTATGTAGCTGGAATGGTACATTCTTCAAGTATATCATCAAGCTATGAATCCATCCATTTGGCCCTAGATTTCGATATTTTCCAAGCAGCAGTAAGCTTATTAGCAGCAAGATTGTAGCGCCAAGTTTCTGAGGTAGTATAGATAACCGGGTTATCTGTGAAGCTACTTGAATGTTTAGGTGTAGAATTGTATTGTAGAACAGTCAAGGCTCGGCAAGTAAAGTAATTGTCCTTCCTCCTACCTTCCTTTATGTACAGGTTGAATGGGATGACATTCCTTTTTAGAGATGCCCAAGCAAGGTCTATGAAATCAGGCATCTGAAAAAGGTATGTGACACAGTGATTTACATGACGAGCTGGCGAAAAGTTTCAATATCGGGGTGCTGACAGAATGCATGATATACCAGCTTAAGTGCTTCATTTTCTGAAGGGTCTTGTGCTGTGCTACAAGATAGTGGGTATGTGGAATCAAAGATTCTATATTCATGTTTTGTCTGGCAAAATCTTTTTGACTCTGGTACTTGTCAAAGTGAAACTCTAGATGATTCTTAGCTTCGTTCATTCAGATTTACTGTGTGCCATATCCATCGGTGACAGGGAAATTGACTGTAAACGCGTCAGTTTTAACTTTTGAGCAATAATATTGCGCTACACATTTAGATTGACCACACAAACAATGTTCAATGTATTTATCATGAAAAGTATTATATTTGTTTTCCTTATTACAATTTTTGCAAAATTATTGATTTTTAAGTAAAGAAACTTGACGGATGAGGTAGTGTTGCTTGTTTATTTCTTAATAATAAGGCTGTGTTTGGTTCGCCTTCTGGAAAGAGCTTGGCTACCAAAAAAAAAACCCTGCTTTTCTGGAAGCAGCTTTCTGCTTTTTTCCAAATGGGTGGAAATATTTCCCTTTGCTCTGTTTACTTTGTTGATGACCAGTTGACCTCTGATTTAAGTTAAGTTTTTATGAAGTGCATACTTTTTTTTTCTTTTTTTTTGGTAATAATGATGCCTTTTATCACTTACCTTGTGCCCAGTGGTATATTATAATATAAAATATGGTTATATCCCTTGACACGGAATCTTATTGACATACGTATATAGTTGCTGATCTTCTCCCCTTGAATGTCAGATGAGCATTGTAATTGTTCAAACAACTTATTCTATGTACTATAGAAGCCTGGGTTAATTACTTAATTTGCATGAGCACTTGTCTCAAGCACCTAGATCTAGTGCGATATTAGATCATGTTGTAGAGACGACTGATCTAGTATCCATAATCAAAACTCTGAGATGCTCAATAAAAAAGTTGAGAAAACTTCAAATATGATGAATTGCTACAATCTGAATCAATATTTTTTTATCCCACTGTGCTTTTTATGTTTCTGATACCAGAATGCATCATGTAACTCTTTTCCATAGTAGGGGAAATGATCTTGCATCCCTATTTACTAGATGTGTGTTTCCCCTAAAACTTGACATTCAGGGATACATTGGTTGGATTCTTTCAGCATATCTAGCACAGGTTCGTGAATTTGAGTCTTCTCTTGGAAATAGGTATATGTATATGAAGGTTCTTGCCATCATTAATAAGTTGAAGATTAGTTATCCTATTGTTTTTTTCCTTCAAGTTTTGCTAAGTTAAACTAGGATCTTGAAACAAATGTGTTATAGCTTTATGTGCATGTGGTACCTTTCGTGGTATGATCTAGTTCAGATTTGTGGTTAGATGTTAAACTTAAATTTGAGTTTTAGGTGCAAGCTTACACTCCCTTCCCAAAGTGGATGTTTTAATGGCAAAACTTCTGTCAGCAGACGAAGTGCTGGAGCCACTATGGCTTGGTCTGGGGGAGCATGGTCAAGGTTTCGGCTGTGCAGCGCAAGGGGTGGCTTGTCTGCATACTGGTGATCGTGGATGCTTGTGATATAGCAATGCCCCAATGTATAGGTAACTTTTAGTGCTAGAGGCTTCCTTTTGTTGCCATGATGTGTATGCCCTATAAGTAGTTGCATAACACATAGTATACTCAATATAGTTCTACCCCTTGGTGCGGAAGCCATTGGCGCTTTTCTTTTTGTTTAGCATTAATGCCATACAATTGTACATTGAGTTGACTATTCAGTTATTGCTAAATCACACTCCAGTGAATTCTGTAAATGGAATGAAATGAAATGAAATGCTTATATATAACTCCGATCACTCACACTGTCGTGATTGGAGAGTTCTGATATCTCTGATTTGGTTCAATTTCATGTAAAATAAACACTGGATGGTTTGTTTGACTTGTTTCTTATAGTGAGCAGCTTTGCTGCTCGCTGTTTGGGCGATTCCCTTCTCTGGTGACCTCCAGCTTCTCCGGTGCCTCTGGCGTTGGAGCGAAGGGTTGCCAGGATCTGGTGGCTGGTGTTTATCATCTTTCTAGCATCCTACATCTAGGTTGGTTTGATTAGTTTCTAGCATCCTACATCTAGGTTGGTTTGATTAGTTTCTTCCTCGTTCTGGTGTAGATTGGGGCTTTTGGCTTCCGCCGGATCCTCTCCGAATATGGTGCCTGGTGCTACTGCTCCTTATGGTGAGGATTTTACTTCTGACTTTACTGAACCGGCGGTGATGAAGGTTTTTTTTTTCCTTTTTCTTTTTGAAAAAAAAACTGATGAAGCGGTCTCTGGTGACGGGTTCGTGGGATATCTGGTCTACCTCGCTGCTAAGCGTGGGGATCAGAAGCTGTCCTCGTCTGTGGGTTGAGCTTTCGGGCCATCCGTTTCTTTGCCAAGAGATGCAGAAGTTGTTTATGGTTCATCACAATTGGTTGAGCTGAGGGGGATGGTGTCAGAGATGTATTTCCTCTATTAAATCGGCTGGGAAGGCTGCCAATGTTTCCCAATGTCGACCGAACCAAACCCTGGTTCGGTCCCCACGAGAATCTTCGAGCGAAAGGCGAGAAAGAGCACCTCCGGCCCCCTTCCCTTCTCCCGTCGGCGCTTGCGCCGGTGCTGAGGGGAGGCGGGCCGGCCCCGTCGTCTACGTATTATCTATTGCCTAGTAGTAGATCTACCAGCTTCGAGTAGTCCTGCCGTCTTCACCTCGTCGTTCTCGTCAACGGCGGCGAGGTTAGGACAATAATCTCTCTCGTTAGGCTGTGGATGTTTCCTCCTGCTGTTTGGGTCGATCTGGTTCTCCCTTCCTCAGTTTTGGGCCCTCCGACGGCCGATTTGAGGGATTGGAAATCGTTTCAGCCTCTATAGTTGGAGGATCTGTTTCTCATCTCTCGTTTGGAGATGGGGAACGGAGCTGGCTTCTTTGGTTTTGCAGCCCGGTGCCAAGTTTCTTCAACTGCATCAAGCCGTGGTAGCCGTTTTCTTCGCTGGTCCGGCGGTTTTGCCTCCACCGTGGGTTCCGAGGGGAGCCTACTTTGTATACTCCATCGGCAGTCCAAGATTCATCTGAGGTCCGCTGGAGAAGTTCGTCATCAAGGTCCCCCCTGCCCCTGCTTTACCGACGCTCAGCGCGGTCAGTCCATCTGGGACCATGCGTCCGTGACGCCTCTGGTCCCCCTCGCCGGCGTTCCGCTCATCTCAGGCGTCGACAACGGCGATTCTTTGGCTCCAGTACACGTGCCTTCTGACTACGGTCCTCGTGTGACGCGTGGAGGTGTACGTGTCCGATGCCCCACCGGGGGTATTGACGTGGTCCAACCTTCTCTCGAGGGTTATTTTGTAATTTAGCTGCTTTCTAATATATATATATATATATATATATATATATATATATATATATATATATATATATATATATATATTTGAGGAGTTGTAAAATAAATGTTTCCCAAATCAGAAAACCGAGGCGCTGGTTCTTGCGGAGAGAGAATAATGAGGAAAATAGGGATAGGAAAGGAACGTAGTAGTAAAAAAGAGGAATGAGAAAACACTAAGAATTTTATGAATGAGCGTTTGGAATAGAGGAATGAGATAGTAGAAGAATCTCATTTTGTTTAGACTAATGATGTGCATGTTTTGCTAAACTTGGTAGCTTGAGATTAGCTTGGGTAGACAAATGATGCGAATAAATAAAAAAAATGTTTCTTTGACTCTTGCCTCTTATATTGTTGGCTAGCTCAGACAACAATGCATCATGTCATAGGAAGAATTCCTTTAGCAACAATGCATTATGTCAGAAGAATTCCTTTAGCTTAGAATGGATGGTTCTTTTCCTTCAAAATGCATGGATGAGGAAACTTTCCACAGGAGACGGGCATGCTTGGTTCCTAGAGGCTGAAGGTGCAGAAGCACATCTCCTATCTCAACTCACATCTATATACTCTTATAAAGCTAAATTTCACTAGAGGATTTTTCTTTTCATGAAAGGTGTCCACATCATTCCTCACTAAGTCCGTATCATCCCTTATTAATTACAAAAAATAT